ATATATATATATATATATGGGGAATGTTAATATACTCCTATTTATTTTTTAGTTGGAGTATGTTAGCAACTTATACTAAAATTTTAGGACAAGAAAATCACTCATTTCTTTTTATTTGATTAATTTGTACAAAGAATATTATAGTAATTTAATTTAATTTTAAAAGAAAATAAAACATTTTCTCTCTCTTATTAACTTCATTCTCTAATTTATTTATTTTTTATTAATTAATTTTTTATTTCTTCATAAAGAGGGGAGACATCATGAGAGATGAGAGAGAAATGAGTTAAAGAAAGAATTTAATAGGAGAGAGATAAATAAGTTAAAGATAGAATTTAATTAAAAAGAGAAGTAGGTTGGAGAAAGAATTTAATAAAAAATAAAAATAACTTAGAGAATGAAATTAATAAGAGAGAAAATATATTTTATTTTCATTTAAAATTAAATTAAATTACTATAATATCATTTATATAAATTAATCAAATCAAAAGAAATGAGTGATTTTTTTGTTATAAAATTTTAGTGTAAGTTACTAACATACTTCAACTAAAAAATATAGGTGAGAATATATTAGCATTCCCCTATATATATATATATATATATGAAAATTTAGAAAAGTTTGGGAGAGCTGTGAGTCCCCTGTCCGCCCCTGGCCATATTAATATTACTATAATTACTATTAGCTGGAATTATTGTCTTAAAAACTTAAAAGGGAAATTACATTTGCTTCTATGTAATAAAATATTGCATGGTAATATTTTACGAAATCGATACTATTTTTTATGCGTTTTAAATTTTATGTGGTGTCTATGGTCAATACTATGCAAGTGACATGTTTGATCTCTTAGCATAAACACATTAGTCACATTTTGCTTGGAGAAATGGAAGGATTTGTTTGAACCTTCGTCATTCGGCCAAATAAAATCGGTGAAACGTGGAAGAACATAATTAATTAAGAAAAACAATATTTAGGGAAAAAAATAACAAAGCTTATGCATTTCTGCGGAGAGAAACAAATAAGTACGTTCAATTTTTTTTTTATAGTTATTTTCTATAAATTTTAAGTAAATAGTAATTAAAATAATTTTTAATAAATTAAGAAGAATTTTATTTTATTAATCTTAAATACATAAATAAAAATATATAATATTTATTAATTCTCCCGGGTGACCCAAACGATCATGGAGATGGTGTTACAACAAGAAATGTATATGGGATTTGTAGGCTTGGTGATGGGATAAAGCTCGCCCTGACTCTCACACCTCATTACAGGCTTCCCCGTCTGAAAATCCTTCACAGAAAATCCAAAGGGATCAAATTCAACAGAAATAGAGTTATGAGTTGTAAACTTTCTAACTAACACCAAGTTTTTAACAAGTTGAGGAGCATGAAGGACATTGTTTAATGTTAAAGGAGGACACGGGGAAGACAATTTGGTGTGACCATAGCCATGAATTGGAATTGAATGACCGTTACTAACAATTATACCATGTTTGTTGCTCATATTAAAATAAGACGTGAAGTTACCTTGTGCGGATGTCATGTGAGAAGTAGCACTAGTGTCCATGTACCAATTTGCATCCGGAGGACTGATGCCGAGAGTATGCATTGCGACTTTTATGTTTGTTGGAGTTGGTGCTGCGGTGTAGGCTTGCAGAGGTCTGGGCCCAAGTACACCAGGCTGTTGACGCTGCTGTTGTCCAAATTTGGGCCTAACCCATGAATTAGAAGGGTACGGACAAGGAGGTATAGCCCATGGAGCCATCCACTGCCAAGGCTCGGAGAGGAGATTGATAGTTTAATAACTTGTGGGAAGAATATTGAGAAGGTAAGTTGTCATTTGCAAAGCGTGATGCCAAAAAGAAGGGGAAAAAGAAGCATGGGCCAATAAGGTACGGACAATGTTGTTGATTGTACGGATTTGTCTTTCAGCTTTCCCATTTTGAGGGGATGTATGAGGACATGAAAAACGAAAAGAAATACCATTAGCTTTACAAAATTCCCAAAAAGGCCCATTATCAAATTTTGTGCCATTATCACACTGTATATTTTTTATGTCTCGTTCAAATTGAGTTCGGATGAGGGATTTAAAATAAAAAAATGTGTAATAAGTTTGTGATTTTTGCGATAAAGGAAATGTCCACAAAAATTTAGAATAATCATCCACAAAAATTTAGAATAATCATCCACAAACAAGACATAATATCTATGACCCGATGAACTCAAAATAGGTGACGTCCAAAGATCACTATGGATAATATCAAATGGCATAATAGTGCAAGAATTTAAAACATAAAATGGCAACGTAACATGTTTTCTAAGAGGACATGAATGGCAAATACGAGAATCCTTAATTTGATTACACTTAATCAATTTATTCTTCTTAAGGGAGGTCAAAACAGGGGCTCCCGGGTGACCCAAACGATCATGGAGATGGTGTTACAACAAGAAATGTATATGGGATTTGTAGGCTTGGTGATGGGATAAAGCTCGCCCTGACTCTCACACCTCATTACAGGCTTCCCCGTCTGAAAATCCTTCACAGAAAATCCAAAGGGATCAAATTCAACAGAAATAGAGTTATGAGTTGTAAACTTTCTAACTAACACCAAGTTTTTAACAAGTTGAGGAGCATGAAGGACATTGTTTAATGTTAAAGGAGGACACGGGGAAGACAATTTGGTGTGACCATAGCCATGAATTGGAATTGAATGACCGTTACTAACAATTATACCATGTTTGTTGCTCATATTAAAATAAGACGTGAAGTTACCTTGTGCGGATGTCATGTGAGAAGTAGCACTAGTGTCCATGTACCAATTTGCATCCGGAGGACTGATGCCGAGAGTATGCATTGCGACTTTTATGTTTGTTGGAGTTGGAATTATATTATATTTTAATCTTTCACCACATAATATTTGAATTCTTCATTTAAGCTTTTCATGACATGAAAATTTTCCATGTAATTTAATTAAAAACATAAAAATTTTAAAAGACTGGAATGAAAAAGGTCAACAAATATATAACAAAAATAAAAATTTAATAAAATAAATTGAAAGAGTTTTTTTATATTTTAAATTAGATGAAAAAATCGTATTATAAGTTTAACGTGAGCTTTTTTATTTATATTATAGATATAAATATTGTAATTCAAAATATTGAAATAAAAATATAATTTACACTATATAAATATGTTATAATTAAACTATTAAATTGAAAAAATGATTTACGCCATGCTTACAAAGGCACAGACACTAATTTAGTATTTTATTAATATATATTAATGATAATTTGCAAATTAAGTTAACAGATGGTTCTCTTCAAAATTCGAGACATTATTCAGGCATGGACTATTTGATCATTTTATAGTTTAATTCACTACGTCGTTGTCTATTAATTAGTATTAAGTTGTTTAATGCATTCACAAAAATATGTTGGGTTTTCATCTGATCAATTAAGCTCGGCTAGGTTGGTTCATGCTGACTTCAACATTATCACCTGTCTTATTTTAATGAATCATATAATTAAGAACTTCAATTTGTTGAAGCCAACCTTATCTTATGAATGTAAAAAATAAATAAATAAATAAAAATTATTGAACCATATATTGATATTATTATTTTTATTAAGAATATTTGAATGTGAAAATAATACTAACATTTAATTAAGTATTATTTATATATTACGAAAAAAAATAATTTTTAATAACAATAATGTGGTGACAAAAATATAATTGTCACTAAATCAATCATAAATTATATGATTTTGTGGCTAATAAATATTAGTTGTTAAAATTTATTATTTATTAATTATTATTTTTTATATATAATCAGTTTAATTGAGTTTTTTCAAATATTTAAGGTGTGACTTTGTATTATTTTCTTCTTTAATACAAGGGGCATCCTACTTAGAAATTAATAGTTAAAGTTGTACTATTCACATCGGACACCGAGCTCAAGTTCGGTGCCCAAGCGTCGCACAATCTCAGATAGATGTTACATGACATCGGTCAAAGCAAAGGTCCAATGCCTATTGGGCCACGACCAATCTCAGGCCCATATCAATCTTATCCTCACCCAAGAGGAAATTCTAATCTCACATCAAGGTACGTGCACTATATACATGAGACACTCATACGATCAAATACTAACTTTAGCATCGGAGTCTCTTTTGCAGGTACCACCCCATCTCGAAGCAGTTGACGTACCCAACAAAGAAGGCTCACTGATCTTACCCAGTAAATCGTCCCTCTTGACCGATCTCAGGTAAGAACAAAAGCTATTAATGTCTTGAAATTTGGCTTTCAATTTTGTATTGATAGAGGAAATATATATCTCTATATTTGGTACGATAAATGGCTCGAGGAAGACTATCTCTATCATTTAATACCATATATGTGCATGTTCAGGATACTCAATTGCGTTTGAAGGATATTTATCAAGTTGGCTACTACTATTCATATGCATGTCAAACTTGTACCGGATGGCCGACCAGGCCGAAAACATTAGTATAACCGACCATACCGAACCGCCCCACTGCAACCGACTCGGCCGACCTTGTCAAATTGGGGTCGGCCGACTCGGCCAATTAGGTTCTCATACTCGAGGACACGGAGTTAAGCCAGGTGAATTAGGACGAGATTAATTTACTTAATACACCGATTTACCCTCCTAATTTTTGGGGCCCATTCCTTAATCACGGTCCAACAACAACTAATATAAATAGACCCTCAACGAGGTACGTAGATAACTTTCAACTACCGCATTTAATACGCCGAACACTTATTTGAGCGTTGGAGTGTCTTTGCAGGCACCCCCCACTTCGGACTATCTAGAGCGGAACGAGAAGACCTAGACCAAGGATCAGACTCGCAACAATTCGGATAAGCAAAGTGTGTATCCTAATACATGAACAAAACTGATTCTTCAAAATTATATTTTGAATGAGCATATAGACGATGTGATTATATGGGGCATTCTAAAGATGGCGCTTTCTCGACTGGTTCAGCTTACATATGGCTTATTGTTGAGTCTCCATTGCCTGTAGCTCAATTTGGAAATTGGTTATGGATCTAGAAATAACCTTTACCTAAACACACAAAACACTTCTTATATATGGCTCACTTTGCATGAGAGCATCCCCACTAATGTTTATTGTGTCTCTAGGCACATGTGTTAATTCTTCTCGTTTCAGGTGCACTAATGGAGAGGAAACAATTCTTACTTTGAGATTACAACACTTCACTTCAAATATGGCAGTTTTTGAATTTGGATTCTCAGGCCAATTTCTACGATCTGCTGATTTCACGAACTGGTTGGTGACCAACAATGGAGAGTAAGAGTGGTGTGCTCCTTGCCAAAACTTGCTGGATGATTTGGAAAAATTGTAATGCAGCTATCTTTCAAACTATATCTTGGGATGTTTGGAAAATCATTAACCAGGTTCAACAATTTCACGTGGATATTCTAAATGCTTTTCATAAACTCAAGTTGTTCAAGACTTCTCTTTATGTAGGTTGGTCCTTTCCTACTTCACCTTTTGTTAAACTCAACACAGATGGAAGCTTGTGGGACAATCCTGACACTTATGGATTTGGAGTAATCGTCCGAAACTCTACTAGAGATTGGATCACTGGCATTACAGGATCGTGTCGTATCTCAACTAATCTTAGAGTCAAGTTATTTGCTACTCCCTCCATTTTTTTTTCATAGTCGTTTTGTCAGAATTTATTATTTTTTTTTCAGTCATTTTACTCAAATTAATGACTTATTAATTTTTTTCTCCATTTTTACCCTTGATAATTAATACATGTTTACTGAGCAATGTGTGTATTTATTTTTAATGTCTACCTATTTTTTCTCCAACTACCCATATAAAGTTAATGTGCATTTATAAAAACAATATATTCCCAACAAAATACTATAAAAAAACAAAAAAAAAGGGACAACTATTTACAAGACTCTTTAACTATAACCATTAATTCATAGACAGGTATAATTAAATACAGTAGGTCATAGTTCACGTGTAATCAATGCATTAATAATTAATGGAGTAGATTGCAGTTTAAAAGTCTCAAAAATACAAAAAAAAATAAAGGGTAAAATAGGAAAGTAAGTAATAAATATTTTTGAAAACTAAAATATCAATGATTTTTTTAAGTCTCGTGCAAAACCTTAAACGACTATGAAAAAAACGGAGGGAGTATTTATTATGGTATCAATAGTCAATAGAGTATGGGATGATAATTTTAGTCTTTTTATGTGTGAATGAGGCTCGAACTTATTAATAAAGATGTAAGATATGATCGAACCTTTAATCAACTTGATTCATGGTTTCAAAACTTTCAATTGGACATTATAATTTTGTCACATTCTACGTCAAGGAAATTCATGTGCTGATTGACGGGATAAATATAGAGTAAACCATGAACACTTGTTAGTTTGAAACGAGTGTCCCTCTTTATTAACACATTTCCTGATAATTGATATGATCAGCGTAATCTATATTCACTTTTAATTCTTTTCGTTGTTTTTTTTTTCCTATTTCAAATGCATAAAAAAATGATCACTACATTTATATGAATTTAATTATAAATTATTTTGAGAATTAAAATTATTATTATTATTATTTGTCAACGGGACAAACTTATGTACATTAGAGTGACAATTTATTTTAATAGAAATTGACATCTTGAATTTTAAATACATTAATCAAGTTCATTTCATTCTATATATGACTACTTTTGTTATATTTTATTCATTTTTC